TATGATGGTGATGGTGGTGATGAGAATGACGATGTTGTAGGTTTTGATGACGATGACAATCGTGGTGATAGGAGTTATGATGATGATGATGATGACGTGAATGCTGGTTGTTATGGTGGTTGTGGTGATGGTGGTGATGTTGATTGCAGAAAATACGGCCTCTGTGGGAATTTGTACGATGACAGGTTTATTAGGAATAATAATAATAATTATTATTATAATTATAATAATAATAATAGTTTCGATTATAATAATAGTAATAATAATAATGATGGCAATTTTTTTGATGGCTATAATAAAGCTGAAGATGGCAGTGTTGATGACAATAGGTATTATGATTATGATCAAACTGGGGATGTATGATGATGATGGTCATTATGATGGTGATGATGATAATAGTTGTAATAATAATAGTAATAATATTAATAATTACATTTATCGTGAAAATGTTTTTAAAGTTGAGGATAGTCTTGGTATTCTTGATAATGATGATGGTGGTGGTGGTGATGATGATGGTGGTGGTGATGGTGATGATGACGGCGATTCTGATGACGTAACGATGATGTTGTTGTTTTTCAAATTTTACCTTATCTATGTTATCTTGATCTACGTTATTTGGTCTATGGTTATAATATCTTTGTTTGGTGTAAAATATTTTTTTTTTAAATTCGTTTTTTCTCGCTCTATTTCGTAACAAATTTCATCTTTTGCGTTAATAATAATAGCAATAATAATAACAATAATAATAATAACAACAACAATAGTAATAATAACAATGATAATAATAATAATAGGCAAATGAACAACAACAATAATAATATTCCAAGTTTTATTTCTACTGATTTTTATTTGTGTTATATTCTTTAATAATAACAACAACAACAATAATAATAATAGTAGTAGTAATAATAATAAATGTTATTTTATCTTTATCGTAACGATTTAATTGCATTTTTTTTACAAATTATTTTAGTTATATATATATATATATATATTATATATATATATATATATATATATATATATATAATGTAGGCCAATGTGAATTTTGAATTATAATAGGCGCTATATAAATGTAGACGATAATAATAATAATAATAATAATAATGCATATATATATATATATATTATATATTTATATATATATTTATCTTTATGCAATTTATTTTCAGTATTATTTATACATTTTGTTGTCTGTATAAATCTTGAATTTATTATGACGAATATACAATTATCTTTTGTGTGAATATATATTTATATATTATACAAACATATTACATATACATATATATATACACATATATATATATATACATTTATATATCTATATGTATATAAAAACTATATATATATATATATATATATATATATATATATATATATATATATATATATATATATTATGTATATTTTTATACATAGTTATTATTAGTTTATTAGTATAGTATATTATATATATACATACATATATATACATATATATATATATATATATATATATTATGTATATTTTTATACATAGTTATGTTAATTTGTATATTTAGGTATTAAGTAACCGATCTACACAAGTATTATGAAACATTACCATGGCTTTTTTGTATTAGTAGCTTTTTTAGTATATTTCTAGTGTTTGTATGTGTGTAGGAAGGCTTGTGTATTTATTCGTACTTATATATTTATATATGTATGTAGGGATGGATAAAAAAGGTATGGATGTATATGTGTATGTTTATATGTATGTATGTTTGTTTGTTTGTATGTTTGTTTGTTTGTTTGTTTGTTTGTATGTATGTATGTTTGTTTGTATATACGTATGTAAGTATGTACGAGCCCATGGTTAAAAACAATAGTAATAAAAACCATCATTTTGCTACAACTTATGCATGTATGTATGTATGAATATATGTATGTATGTATGTATGTATGTATGTATGTATGTATGTATGTATGTATGTATGTATGTATGTATGTATGTATGTATGAACCCTATTCTTGATTTATAACTAGGATGGAGCCATAATCTTTTCTAGATTCAATTTTGTGTTAGTGGTCTCGCACAGGTAGGTGTTTTAAAGCTCCATCCCAGATACAAAAAGAATAAATGTATGTATATATGTATGTATTTCTGTATGTATGTATTTATGTATGTACGTACGTATGTATGTGGCTGTGTGTTTTTAACTGTTTGTATATTTTCTATATAATCTGTAATGTTTCTGTACATAGCATATTACATCCAAATATTTTTATTTATATATGCAGTATATATATATATATATATTGTATTTATATATATCTATATAGGTGTATGTTTCTATCTATATGTCTGTATATATTAGTACGTGTGTGTGTGTTTATATTTAAGATTTTCTGTGATAAAAAATTAATTAGTTAATCAATCAATCAATTAATTAGTTAAATAATTCGCATGTACATTTGAACGTGTTTCAAGATCCAATTATGATAATGCAATTAATTATAATATAATTATGTCTTCACGCAAACGTTCATACATTCAATTTCTAACATTATATATACTTAATTAAATGTTCTTTGATTATTTTTAAATAACTTGTTTTTTTGTATCATTTTTATTGATTCATTTCATTCTTTCTCAATTGACTCAAGGTATTTGTTTTATGAAAGCTTTTGAATAAAAAGATTTTTTGGTCTTAAAATTGGCAAAAAAGGTTAACTCGGGATTCAGTCGAATGCAATTTAGTGTAATATAATTTAATATTTTAATTTATAAAGTATTTGATTGCGTGTTTTTGTTTTTTAAATGCTGAAATCGCTAAAATGTTAAAAAAGTTTTTCAGCATAGAACCATTAAATTGTCATTGTTTTCTCATGTAAACATTTTCATTTCTTTCCACTTCCTTCTTTTTTGCGATCAACGCCGTGAGTGATAGTGTTCTAAATTTATCAAAATGGGTCACGAAAATATTTGGTGTAGTCACCCCAAAAAGTATGGACAAGGATCGAGAAGATGGTAAGATTATATTTTACACTAAATTTACTAAATTTCGTGGACTAGTAAAGGTTAACCATATATCGCTCATGTTTTGTTAATTTTGATTTTCGTAGTCGAGTGTGCTCGAACAGGCATGGATTGATCCGTAAATATGGCCTCAACATGTGCCGTCAGTGCTTCAGACAATATGCCGGTGAAATCGGATTTAAAAAGGTTTTTTTAATTTGTTTATCTAATGGCTAATCAAACATCAAATTCATAATTCATTTTTAAGTGCTGATTAAGTTTCATGTCCAAAGCAGATAATTATACATGATGCTGATAGCTGCTGTAAAAAATTAATTTAATTTATTGTTTAAAAGTTGAAAAACTAAACTAACCTAAGGTTTTTTAAATGTAAGAACTTTTTTTTACTGCTGAACAATTAAACGTCATGCATAATAACTGTTGTGCTTTTAACTTTAAACCAAATGTTTTCCCTGATTTGACTTTTTAATATATTTTTTGTAGCCTTATTTTATTATTAAGTTTGTTTGATTTATTTGTAATCAGCACAGATTTATTTTATGCTATGATGTTTATTAATACAAGATCCTTAAACTCAAAACAATAATTTTTTTATTTCAACAGTTGGATTGAGCAGATTACATAGATGGAGACGCGGTTCACAGACAATTTCATTATTTCGTGTTTAGTGCTATCAACTGAAATAAATTAACTTGCTTGAAATTGTCAATAAAACGTTAAATGTAATCTTGTGTTGTTTTATTTGAAGTTTGCTTTTAAAAAATCTAACATAAAAGCGTTAAAAGTGAACTCGAATTCATAAGTTTTGACTGGCAGCATGAGATCGGACAGGAGGTTGTTTTACGTTACAATTTTCACCTCCGCGTTGACAGCGATCAGTGAGTTGTTATCATTTCTCGAAATGGAACGTTCAGTCAAACTTTAATTTCTTTTTCAGTTTTTATTTATCGGTTAAGTTTGGAGAAAGATAATGATCTTAGTGGTGGGCGGCCGAATATGGACCGTGATCCTTTCGATTACGGATTGTTAAATGGAGTGAATTCGGGTTTTAATAGGATCAGCGGTAGCGATGAAAATTCGGTGAAATTTTCCGAATCAAAACCTAGGTCAGACTTCACTCGGATGTGCAATGTTTCAAAATACTATGATCCCAACGAAAATGGTTGAGTAATTAATGAATTATTTATAATTTCGATTATTTATTTGAAATAAATTTCTGTTTTTTTCATCTTTAGAACGGTTATCCAGTCTAACGTCCAAATACCTACTTCATTCAATCGTTGTAGTCATGCGCCATGGTGTGAGAGCGCCTCTCTCATTTGTCCATTCATCATTTGAAGATGGATCCAATGTTGGTGAAAAACCCACCTGCTCTCTTAAACCAAAAGAAAATTTACTAGACAAAAAGATTATTAAAAGAATTAATTCGATAAAGAAGTTAGCAGGATCTTTAAGTTCCAATGAACCACCATTAGTCAGAGCTTCTGCTTTCCCGAATACAGAACGTTGTGATGTGGGACAACTGACGGCCAAAGGTGCGAGGCAGATGTATTTATTAGGTTCTCTATTCAATGGAAAATATTCACAGTTATTAAGAAATGTTTTTCTTGATTCAAACCAGAAACATCACATATTTGCTCAAACCACATATTATCTTAGAACCTACCAAAGTGCAATGGCATTTTTAGCTGGATTTTTTGGAAACTTCACAAAAGTTTTGAAGAGTTTACACTTGAAGTCATCTAATTTAACATCTACACAACAGCAGAACTATAAATTACTGCATTTAAGTCTTTTAGATAATATCTACCACTGTGATGATCATTTTAAATCCACTAATAAATACTTCTGCAGCTGTTCAAGTGCAGTCAACATTCCCGATAAAATTAAGAATAAAATGGACGGTTTACCTGTTGCTTCTAAAAAAGTGCCAGGCATAACAAGTTTGATTGAGAGTTCCAAAAAAATTAGAAAGGAACTTTTTGGTGCCTCCATGAGCTTAGGAAATGTCATTGAAATCATTTCGTCGTATGTTTGTTTCGACCTTCACCTTCCTTGTTATCTTGTTGAAAAGTGACTACAGTTACTATTTTAATACTTTTGAATATCAAACTCAACTCTCTTTAAAATCTCACTATTTTAGTTTGTTTACAACATTCAGCTGTAATTTTAGATCTTCAAATGTTATTAAATTGCAAATTGATCAGTTTTTTTTAACCACCAATTTTGTATTCCAAGCAATTCTTCTATCTTAAAGTTCCAATCTTATGAATTAGGTTAAAGTGCCTGTCATGGGAGGAGGTTGGACTAATAACCCAAATGGTTGAGCATGTAGAGGAAGTCGATTTCAACTCCCCGATCACTAAATTCACCCACTGCCTGACAGGATATCCACTTTTGATGGAGATCTGGCAAAATCTCTATAACATGACCATGTATAAAAGTTCGTGAAGTTTTTATTGGAAAAAATTAGTATTGCAGTATTATATGAATTGTAATCATATTGTTGATTTGTTAGGTGCTATAATTATTACCATTGATGTCAATGTCCATTTGACATCTGATTAATGTTCTTAAAAGATTATTTTGTAGACTTATGGTTATTCATTTAGGAATGAAATAAACATTGTTAATATTAACATAATGAATATTTTGATGTAATATATACTAAATATTTAATTATGAAGTTGTTCGTTCTTATTATTTTTTAGAAAAGGGTGAAACTTCCTCAAGACCCATGGTCTCTCTCTACATGGGGCACGATAGGTCAATTGAACCCTTGCTAACAATACTGCAGATCAAAAGGGTTACATATTGTGATTCTTCTTTATTTTTTTTTTATAAAATAATAATAATAAAAATAAAGAATCACAAACAATCAATCAATCCTCGTTTATAGTCTCTATCCGTTAGGGGTCAGACTTTTTTTTTGAATGGAATAAAAAAGTCCGACCCATAACAAATGGAGGCTATAAACGAGGATTGATTGCGATTGTTTATTATTGTTAATATTATTATTATTATACTACTTATAAAATTATCATTATAGGTCAGCTCAACTTTTGCTTTCAATGCACATGCTCTAACTTTTATTCAGTATATTGTCAATTTGCTACTTTTTACGTTCTATTTTTAATTTATAGAGAGCCTTTGGTGATTTATTCTAATTTATTTTCTTTGTTTCAAATTATTCAGGATCTCTGGCTGTTACCACTCGCGTCGGCCATAACCTTCGAACTTTATTCATTGAGGTCAAAAAAGTTCTACATTAGAGTAATCTACAATGGCAATGATGTCACCAAACAACTAATATTCTGTCGGAAGTTAAACGGAGATGGACTGTGCGATTTTGAAAACTTCAATTTCTTTGCCATGAAGGACATTGATCATCACTGCTTTTTTGGAGATAACTTTTCCAATGCTTGTAATTCCAAACGTTAATTTAAACGCTCAGCTGCCTTTGATCATTTGAGATATTTAACAGATAAACATAAAAAATGTTTATATAAATATAAACAATTAATATAGGATGGCTTTAAAGTAGGTCCGTAGTTAGGGTTGTGGTAAACTATCGAGTCACTTGCTTGAGAATAAAATTAATGGCCTACGTGATAACTGTCAGCCTTCTTTCTAATTGTTAATATTAACATAATAAATTCCGGGCCACCACCAATAAAATAAATGCAACAACGTATATTCCATTGGCCTGGCATGGTTACGAAGATGTGGGCCTTCATGTTCCATGCTTTTCCATATCTTTGACGAGACATCTAATTTGGCTGATCATATTTTTCCATGCGTTTCGTGACTACATTGCAATAAATTTAAAATATCCATGAAACATTTTTGTGGAAGGCCTTCTGTTAATGTGTCTCTTTTTCTTCTTTAAAAATCAGGGTCTGACAGACGCAGAAACTGTTACAGCATGCAAGGCAGTAGTATAAAATTAAACAAATGAGTTTAATCTTTCTGTGATTGTTCATCTGTATTTCTATTGAAACTTCATCCTGTCTTAAAATTACATACGCTCAAACAAAAATGATACCTACATGTGCCTATTATTTATATGTTGGGAGGGGACCATGTTTTACACAGTATTGTATGAGTTGACCGAATTGTTGGCATTAACCAATTTGCAGTTTGTCTTTTCCACTTTCCTCATTTGAATTTTCTGGAAATTGTTCGTTTTATTAACAAAAAAAAACTATTAATATCCAAATAATAAAAATTTGGATATTAGTTGATGTGAAAAATTCGGTAGAATTCTTACTTCTTACAATACTATACACTATTATGTATATTACACACAAACACATTCTATTTGGTTTATATTTTCATTATAATATGCGTATACATGCACTGTCATTATTAACAGTATTTTTGAATCTGGTGAAGGTGGTTCATTCTTGAATGTTTTTCACGGTGAATGGTCGTTGTCAAGATAAATAACTTATTAATATATGTACCAGATTCGTAATTTTTTTAAATATGTTGTTTGCATCATGTGTAAGTGTAACACATGTATGCAAGTGGGTGTGTGTTTGTATGATTGGTATGTGTGTGTGTGTGTGTATGTGTGTGTTTGCCTGTATGTATATGTGCATGTATGTAGGTGGTTTCCCATGTTCCAAATACTACTAAGAGTTCGTTTCAAAAACTTTTTTAATATGGAAATCTTGAAACATTAACAGAAAATAAAAGAAAACTGACTAAATTTCTGAACGTAAAATGAATAACAAAACAAGAGATTTCAAAATGTAAGGAAACTCAAAAAGTTACAAAATGAAAAAATTTGAGGAAAATATGTAGGAGGAAGAATATCATATCATTTAAGATCTGTACGCTGCGTATGTAATGTTAACTCTACACGAAACGTCATCACAAGATTTACACATACAAACAACACACACACACACACATACATACAAACTAGATACATATATGAATGCATGGGTACATACATACATATCTTCATACAGACGACATATATACATGCTGTTATAAATAACATTGTCATTCATTAGAGATGAGTCGTATATATAATTGTCATATATGTTGGTAATAGACCATAATTTTTACAATATTCTATAAATTCTACCGAATGTTTGGCGTTAATATGTTTGTAGTTCGTTTTTTCGATTTTTCTCACTAAAGTTGAATGAAATCGAAATATGGCCTTATTTGCAGCATGAATTCGAAAAATAAGTTTATTTTGAATTTTAATAAACTAAACATTCACCAAAAAACTTTAGTGAGACAAATCGAAAAAACGAACTACAAACATATTAGCGCCAAACATTTGGTAGAATTTATAGAATATTGTAAAAATTGTCACATATATATACATATATATTTACATACATAATTATATATATATACATAATTGTATATATATATATAATTATAGACATATATATATTTACATACATAATTATATATATATATACTTGTATATAATTTATATATTTATAAATGTGTATTGTCAAGAAATGTCACAGCATTTCAGCTTCAATCAGTTTCTGGTTCAATTTTTCAATAACCTGAAACTGATCAGCTTCCTAACAATTGTGTCCGCGACAGTCTCAACCCTAATTTATACATACCTAAGTGTAAATATATATATATTTATGTGTGTATATATATATATATGTGTGTATATATATATATATACATATATACATAAGCATATATACACAAGACATACGTACATAGATATGCATACGTATGTATCTTTGACAATATGAATGTATGAATAGATATAAGGTTAAATCCAAATTAAATAAACAACACGAACTCGCCTTAATTAAATATTTCAGCTAACTAATAAATTAACTAATTAATCACAAAATTTATTCTTTAATTGATCCATTACTAATTAATCTTAATTAAATAATTTCATTCGTAGAAGGAACAGCAATACTAAGCAGATGTAGTTTACAAAGAATAAATAAGTAATAATAAATAAATAAATAATAACGATAAATTAATAATAACATAAATAATAATAATAATTATAACATAATCGGAGCAAATAAATAAAAAAAATAATAGCAAAGAAACGGAACAATAATAATAATGAATAAATAATAATAAATAAAAAAACAACAATAATAATAAAAAATAATAATAAGGACAAATAAACAATATATATAAATATATAAAGAGAACGTGAAAAATGAAAAAAAAATGTAATTCATTCATTCATCCATTCATTCATCTATTCATTCATTCATTCATTTATACAAAAATATCTATTAGAATTGTAGTCATAAATTTTAAGTCTTAACAAAACAGTACTTACATAACATTACCGATGATGATGACAACAACAATAATAATAATAACATTAACAACAACAACAATAATAATAATTATAACCTGAATAATAATAGTAATGATAATAAAAACCTTAATAATAACAACAACATTAATAATAATAACAACATTAACAACAATAATAATAATTATTATAACATGAATAATAACCAATCAATCAATCCTCGTTTATAGTCTCCGTCCATTATGAGTTGGACTTTATGATACAAATAATAATAATAATAATAATAGCATTAATACAACAAAAATAATAATAATTATTATAACATAAATAATAATAATTGTAATTATAATAACATTAATAACAAGAACAATAATAATTATAACATAGATAATAATAGTAAAAATAATAAAAACATTAATAATAACAATAATAATAATAACATAAATAATAACATAGATAATAATAATAACATAAATAATAATAAAATAAATAAATATTAATAATAGGGATGAAACGGAAAATCTTTTCAATGCGAAGAAAGAAACGTGGGATAGAAAGATATTCCCTCAATTTTTAATTAAATCATAATTAATTACGTCGCCATATTATTTTCATTATTATTATTATTATTATTGTTGTTGTTGTTGGTTTTACTATCGTTACCACGATTAAAAACATCGGTAAAATTATATATATTATTATTATTATTAATAAATATATTATTATTATTATTATTAATATAACAACCACTACTACTACTACTACTACTACTACTACTACTACTACTACTTATAACACGATTATCATTATTATTATTATTATTATTAAATAAATTATTATTATTATTAACACAACTACCACCACCACCACTACTACTACTTATAACATGATTAACATTATTATTATTGTTATTATTATCATCATCATGAATGTTATTACAGCAGCTATTTCTCCTATTAATATCGTCATTATTCCTGTTACTATCATCATCATCATCTTTTTTTTTATTATTATTATTGTTGTTGCTATTATTATTATCATCATGATTGTTATTATTATGATTGTTGTTATTATTATTATTATTATTCCTCTCAGTCTTCCTTTTACCTCTCCTCACTCTTTTACAACCCTTCCCTCCAGCAACAGTTGTCCCGATGTTTCCATGAGCATCATCATCACCACTGTTGTTATTATTATTATTATTAGTAGTAGTGGTAGTAGCGGTAGTAGTAGTAGTGGTGGTGGTGGTAGTAGTAGTATCCACATCACACCCTGCAATCTCGTTGCCCTCACCTTTAATACTAACAACGTTTGAACTACTCCCACGATTATTACCACCATCATCAATGTTATTATTATTATTATTTTTATGATTATTATTATTATGATTATTATTGTTATTTATAACTGTTTCGATGTCAATTTTATTGTTATTACCATTGTTACCACCGTTATTGCTACCATTGACATTCATGTTATCACCAACACCATCACCCCCATGATGATTCGTCGTCCCAGCCATCGTCGTCATCATCATCTTCTTCTTCCTCCTCTCCCTCCTCTTCCTTCTCCTTATCTTCCTCCTCTCGTTATAGTCATCATCGTCCTCATCGTTCAGCATGCACAGCTGGTCATTGTCTCGATACTCGTTGTAGTCGATAGCTCTCTTCGAGTCACCACCGAACGAGTTTCTCAGTCGTTTCAGCCAGCCATTTTTAGCAACCATGACGTCATCTTTATTGTCGGTGACGTCATCGTTGTCGTCATCGCTGTTTGTGGCGTTGCTGTTGCTGCTGTTGTTGTTGGGCGGACCTTCGTACGTTGCTTGCTGCAGCTGCTGTTGTTCGTACGTCGTCGCCGAGCCTGGGGCAGTAGCTGTCGTAGCTGCTTCGTAACTGATATTAGCTGCTTCGTAGCTGCTGTTAGCTGCTTCGTAGCTGTTGCTGGTTGCCGATGCTGATGGTTCGATTTTGATCTGGACCGGGGTTTCTTGGCTCATCTTGAATGTGTTGTGGGGTTGGTGAAATGTAATGGCGATGATGTACCATTAATTAATGTTCGACTATTAGTCACGCACTGATGGTTAACGTAAAACGTACATTCTATACCCCGTTACAGCGCAGAATAATTCATCTCCATCATCGTCGTCACAAACGTCATCAAAACGCCATCATCAACAACATAATCATGAAATGAAATGACGTCATCAAATTGTGATTACGTCACTACCAGACCAAGCCATCATCAACATAACTACTCTGACCAATACATGACACCTTAACATTGCATAAAGGTTAAAGGTTACTTTCTCTATAATTATTATAAATATATAAATATAATTAATATAAATATATTATAATTATAATTACTCTGATCAATACATTATACCTTAACATCGCATAAAGGTTAAAGGTTACTTTCTCTATAATTGTTGCGCTTGCTTCAGAGGTTTCAACGACAAACACACACAGCATATATGAATACGTGTAAAAACCACACATCACACACACTGCACATGCATGGCCACATAAACAGATCATAGAATACAACAAACAACAAATAACTAACAATGCTGTCTATGCAGGCCTTAGTCACGCCATCTTCATCATAAGTTTTACTTTCACTATGATTATTAGCATTATTATTGGTAGAAATATTATTATTGTTGTTGTTGTTGTTGTTATCCATAAACTCTTCTTTTAAAGCACTTTGAACCCCAAAACTACCAATAAGATCCCCACCACCATTACTACAATTGCCAACATCGTCGTAAGCATCATTACCACCAACTTTACCACCACCACCACCCACATCATCATCGACATAGCCAGCTTCCAAATCATCAAAGTTAACAGTCTTCCAGGCCAACTGCCTGAGGACAGCCCTCCTCACCGAGTGCCGCTTGTGAATGAACTTCATGTGCGTCCGAAGTTTGTCCAGCCTGGAAAACCGACCACCACAGTCCGGGCAGACGATGGCCGAGTTGTTCTTGTGGGTCAGTTCGTGGAACTGTAGGTGGCGCTTGCGCGTGTAGGAGACTCCGCACTCTTTGCATGTGTACTCCTAGTAGAGAAGTTTTTTTTTTTTTATCATTCTTTAGAAATCAGGATCCGACAGATGCAGAAACTGTTACAACACATGCAAGAATGCAAAGTGAGAGTGGTGAGTTCAGGTCATAGGCCAAAAGGTTAAAAACATACACGCAAGTATAAAGATACACACACACACGTACGAACGTGCACTAGCAGATACAAATACATATTGGCAAATACAAACATATACAAACGTGCGTATATAACATATAAATATAAACAGACATTTATAGAAAAATTAGCAGATACAAACATCCATAAACATACAAACATCTATAAGCATACAAACATCTATAAACATACAAACGTATACTCACACATGAAAAAAAAACAAAAGCAGATACAAACATGTGATTTGATGTGTATCTTGAGACGTAGCCATGTATCAAACAGCTCATCACACGAGGAGCACTTCAATAGGGTTTCCTTATGGACCAATCGTGTGTGTTCTTTCAATTTATCTGTCCTGTCATTGGTTAATAGGAAATTAATCTTTTTTATTCCAGCTTTTATTGCTGTGTAGACATTGAACACAAATTAAAACCAGACATCTGAATTAAATAAATAAAGACAACGAAATCCCAACAAACATAAAAAAATGATAAACCCAGATAAAGACTCCAAAAACAAAAATTGAACCGACCCAGATAAAATAAACAATAACAATTATACAAAAAAAAAGACACAACACAAACCATCTTAACTCTGAAAAGTAAGACAAATCACTCCAAAACTGACCTCTTTCTCTTGCTGGGGGCATAGTTCAGTTCACGCCCTTTAATAATAATAACAATAATAATAAACTATTATATCTGACCTTGAAAACGATGCCCCACATCTGTAGCAGGTGAACGGTTGTTCACCGGTGTGAACAAACATATGCCTCCTCAGTTTGTCAGGGCGGGTGAACTTGTCCCCGCACTCTTTGCACTTCAGGGGGCTTGCACCTATAATAATAATAATTATTATTAATATTATTAAAATGAAAAAAAAAATTATAATATAATAATAATTATTATAAACATCAACAAAATGATGTCATTCTGTCATCATCTCTTGTTGATGTTTTGTTGAAGTCAGTAGGAAAGTTCTTTGTTAATCAGAACAACTAAAAATCATAATAAAAATAAAATAACACAACCATTAATAATTTTAATAATATTAAAGAGAATTAATCACCGAAAATCATAATAATAAAATAATATAATTAACAAAAACAACTACATCAATAATAATAACAATTAAAATAATAATTATAATTATAATAATATGATAATATTATGTCACCAGAATGGGACATAACATGATAGACGAGTTCTCGTTTGCTGGTCAGATGGAGGCCGCACTGCTCGCACGGGTAACTTGATTTCTGGAGTATTTTAATTAATAATAATAATAATAATAATTTCAATGTTAATAATAATAATAAAATTATGTTATTATTATTATTATTATTAATGCGTTTGGGTCCAAAAACAAATGTCAAATCAATGAAATAGATGATACATTAGTAATAGCAGCAAGAGTAGCAGTAGAAGCAGCGGCAGAGTAGTAGCAGCGAGCGGGAGTAGAAGCAGCAACAGCAGGGGCGGATCCACCGGGGGGGCCTGGGGTGGCCGGGCCACCCCATGCCCTTGCACCGGCCCCCCCACCGGCCCCCCCACCGCAAAATAACAACATTTCAATATGCCCCTATTGCCCCAAAACATCGATTTACATAGAGTTTGATATTGCAATTGCGCGAAATATTTTGAATACTATAAAACAAAACATGTGCATAAAATGTGTGCATTAATTTTTACCGATCCGATCTAGATATTTTAATACTCTTTTATAATAGAACTTTTAGCACATCGCTATTTTGTTATCTGTTCTGCTTTTGAACCGTTCCATGGAAACTGTTTACTGATCTTTATTAAATCACTTAACACATTACACATTTCTGTAATTATCCAATATTCTAATAATGCCGACTGAAGAGAGAAATAGAAAACGAAAAGAAGAGTTAATTAATCAAGCCGCCGCTAAATGTTCTCGATTAAATCAGTTTTTTAGGTTGGTCAATCTTTCTTTCTGTTTCTATTCATCTTTCTTAAAACATTAAACTGTAAACAATAAACATAAACATCATAATCATAACATAGTTTGTTACTTATTATACAAATAAATATTTATATTTTAATTTTGTTTGCAAACCAAACACCAGTCGCCCAAATTGCTGATTTTCTCTTTCAAGTGCCGTTTTTGTATTTTATTCATAAATATTATTCCTGGCGAAGTTTTAAATAAAAAATGAAGGCTCGGATAATTAATTTTTGGTTTTTAAGAGTTTGTGCGTGTGGTTTTTGGATTATACACAGTTCGATAACGTTTTATTATATAACATCTTAATATTCAACAAAAATAAATTATCAGTTTTATTTAAATTAATTATAGAGCGACAACTGATACCGCCGAATTTATTAATGAAATGCCAACTACAAGTAAAATTTCTGTTGCATCTTCAAGAACAAATATCCACGTGTCTAATGAAATGGAGGTTAACTCCTCCCAGAGTGAGCATCATCTTTGTGATGACAGTGATAGAGATAGCTATTATAGTGATGACATTTTAACAGATGAACTAGATGAAAATGAAGATGATGGTGATGAGAAAGAAGATAATGGATTATTCGAAATGCAGACAGAAGGAAAACAATTAACATTGGATGTAGCTT